GTACTATACTACTCTTAGGGTAAGCTAAAGTTCCAAAGCATAATGTCACTGCTTTTCCATGATGCACTTTTTTCAAGTTCGTGCTATCTCCCTCTCATCATGTGCCATGTCCTCTACCAGAAAGACTAGGACATCTTAGAATTCTATAATACACTTGCCAAAATTCTTCGTTAAATCTAGCCATTCTTAGTACTCCCTCCGTTTCACAAAACACTTCCGTTTTAATTTTTTGGGAAGCTCATAAAATACTTCTACCCCACCCAAAATGTCTAAAATACCCCCAAAACAACTTCTACCCGCAATAAACTACATAGTGGGGTATATTTTAGATATTTTAGGTGGGAGTAAAAGTGTTTAATGAGGTGCGCAAAAAATTAGGACGAACGGGTTGTATGAAATGGAGGGAGTATTATAAAACGGCAGTGCAAAGTGCAAACTATCTTGCGAGAAGGACATTGTCATCAAAATCTCCTCACCTATAGTGGCACCACTTTGTTTAGATTCAAAAAGCGCAGCATCAACAATGTCTTTGAGGTGAATGACCTTGGATCCCCTCATAACTGCATTGCAAGTTATCACAACCTTAGGTTTGCAATCCATGATCCTCTGGGCCAGAGATTCAGCAGAAAATCCAGCAAAAACAACCTGCATTAACAAACAACACGTGTGGATCCTTCCTTTCCTTCCTATAAAAGTATATAATGTCTTCCGTTTCAAAAGAGTTGAGACGTTTTTGCCCTTACCGAGTGAACAGCACCAATACGAGCACAAGCAAGCATCGCAATTGGGAGTTCTATACGCATAGGAAGATAAATGACAACTGCATCGCCCTTGTGAACACCAATATCTTTCAAGTAATTTGCAAGCTGAAGACAAGAACAAAAACTGGTATTGTTTGCAGTTTAAAAAAAAACATGCAATCAAAATTGTGAAAGCTACTAACCTGGCAAACTCTTGCAAGAAGTTGGTTGTATGTTAGAGCTGCATCAACCCCAGGCTCATTTCCTTCCCAGTAAATTGCAACTTTGTCACCATTTCCAGATTCTATGTTTCTATCCAAGCAATTGTAACAGATATTGGTGATCCCACCTTTGAACCACTGGTGGCAAAAAAGAGATTGTAAGGGGGAAATCTTTTCATTTTTCTTTCTAATCTATGAGTATTAAAAGCAGTCAGCCATAGAGCAGGAGTGAGCACCTCAATCTGAATTCTCCCTTTGCCTATGTCAAGATTTTCCTTCAAACAGAACTGCGGGTCCCATTTCTCCTTCCAATAGAACTGAGATGCAATGTCAGCCCAGAATCCGGCCGGGTCCTCAACAGAGTTTCGATACATCTCCACATACTATTGTTAAGATTTAATAATATGGTAAGCCGACAACAGAAGCTCATTTTGCATAAATCAGCTCATGTAAAACTGAAATCTACTACCTGTTGGTGAGAAGAGACATGAGCCTGTCGGGAGAAATCGTCGTTAGGGAAGACAAGATCATAGTCTTCAGATGCAGGTGACTCCCCGAGGATGGCGGCATTAGGTCTAGGTATCTTGCCGGCGCGTCCTGGTGCGATCGACTTCTCCCCATGACTGATCTTTGTGAAACCAGATCCCTCGAAATGAGTGTCCATCACAAAAGCAGCTCTTCCTCTGAATCCGGCGGCGGACGAGGTAGGAGGGGGCGGGCGCAGCCGCCGACAGAGGATGCGAGGTCTCAGGGCGTTGACTTGGTGGGGTAAGCAGTTTGGATGGCGCGAGAAGGGAATCTGAGCACCACTTGGGTCGCAATTCAGCGAACGAGCGGCCATGGCCGTTATATAATCATTTGCGCAATTAATGCATTAATATTTGCTTCCTATCCAAGACACGAGATTTTGGTTTAAACCATCAAAAAATCTGCAGGCAAGTATATCTGGGAGGGATTCAAGTACATGAATGTTGGATGCATCTATTAGTCTGCAGGCAAGAGGACGGGTAATAGGGGTGGGTTCCGTTTCGACGGTTCGGTTTTTACCCAAAACCAAAGACAAAACGGAAGGTAAATTGGTGGTTCGGTTTGGTTTGGTTTTGCATAAAAATATGAAAACCGTTGGTTATTCGGTTCGGTTTTTTACGGTTTTTATTTTGATTTTTTCGGTTTATAAAAGTAGAAATTTATAAGCATTAAAAAATTACTCCTAAAACACTAACTCGATGAAACAATAAAAATATGTAGTGTTAGCTTTGGTTTTTTTGTTTGATTTTTACACAAAACCAAAAAACCAAACAGAAGGTTATTGCTCTTTTAATTTTACATAAAAAAGATGTGTGGAGTGCTAACAAACATTTAGAAGATTCTAAATACTTCCAAAGACATCGTATGCAAAATCAATTATGAAGAATTTATATTTTTTGTATAATACTTTCAATTTCATCATAACATCAAAGTATTTTTTATGTAAATATGTAAATTACGCGTATCAATTTTTAATATTAATATGATTCTATATTAGGATTACTATTGGATGGTGTTCATATATATTCTTAAGTTTTTTAAAGTTGATAATCATATGGCTAGAATATTTAACTAATAGATAAGAAAATAATTTAAATCGACTAGTAATTTATTTGCATTTATATTTATATGATTTTTCTACATATCACATATATTCATATAAATTAAGTGAAGTATCTAAAAAAGTTTGGTTTATTCGGTTCGGTTTTTCAAAGTGAAAACCAAAACAGAACCAAATACTAACGGTTCGGTTTTTTTACATTCGGTTTCGGTTTTTTCGATTCGGTTTTTTTACTAGCTCGTTTCGATCGATTTCGGTTCGGTTTGCGGTTTTCGGTTTTTCCAATCCAGCCCTAACTGGTAATACCTCTCACGCCGTGGGGTGTGATGAGGCGTTTTAACGCCTGGGGCTTTAAACACCGCCCCCCATCGGCGTGATTTGGGCGTGATGTGCTCGGCGTCACTTGTTTGACGAATCCCCTCCCCTTTTAACGCCTCTTTCTTCTTTTTTTCTTCTTCTGTTTTCCTCTTTTCTTCTCTATAAATTAAATTAATTTTTTAAAAAAATTCAACACAAATACAAATTTCTCTATCATCTTTTTTAAAAAAATTATTATTCAACTATTTTTTATTTTTTCATAAATGTAATTTTTTATTTAATGAATATAATTTTTTTATTTAATGAATGTAGTTTTTTATAATCAATGTAATTTTTTTATTTAATGAATGTAATTTTTTATAATGAATACAATTTTTTAATGAACTATTCTCGTTTCAATTCTTTTAAATAATTAAATATTTAAATTTAATGAATTTAATTTTAGAAGATGTGTATTTAAAATGTAAAAAATAAAGATTTGAAGCCTCGGGGCTTCAAACCCATTTCTAGTGAAACTGTGAGTTAAGTTAAAGCTGACGTGGCAGAGAGAGAAGGTTTGAAGCCCCGGGGATTCATGGGTATTTCCAGTGCTCGTATAGAGAGCAAATCCTAGTATTGTGAAAGTGAGTGGCAGAGATTTGGAATGGATTAGGTATTGCTATACAAAAATACATCGAAAATACAAAGAAAAATATATTGATCAAACTCCTTTTTTTAAAAAAAAAATAAAGAATAATTTTGGAAGAAAATATTTCTCTTGAATTTCCGATGATACAATATAAACAAAGGTTGTGTCTATAATTGGGATTTCACCGGCTAGAAACTTTACATGAAAACAATTACAAAAAGAAAGGAAATCAATATAAACAGGAGACTACCATATTCATAATAATAATAATAATAATATACGGGAATTTCGTTTCTTTAACACCCCCCCCCCCCTCAAGTTGGAGCATGCAAAAGCGAAATGCCCAACTTAGTAATAAGAAACTCTAAACGTGGTTTTTCTGACGTCTTTGTATGTATATCTTCAAGCTGGCGTGTAGTAGGAACATGATGCATGCAAATCACACCGCGAAGGAGCTCATCACAAACAAAATGGCAGTCAATTTCAATATATACTTCATGCGCTTGTGGAAAACCAGATTAGCTGCAAAATGAAGTGCAGCTCTGCTATCACAATAGATAATCATAGGATTATCGTGCAAGATTCCAAGACAACGCAAGAGGCTCTTTAACCATTTCAACTCATAAGTAACAATAGCAAGGGCCTGATACTCACTCAGTCACTCTCAGTTGATGAGTGAGCAACTATCATTTGTTTCTTTGTCTTCCAAAGAATAAGTGAATTCCTAAGTGGAACAAACCACTCAGTCAAAGAACACCTCGTAAGGGGGACACACAACCCAATCAAAATCGCACCACCCAATAAGTTGTAGATCACTATCTACAGAGAGGAGAACACCATGACCTGGACACCCTTTCAAATACCGAATAACCCCAAGGGTGGTGGTCCACTGGTTCTCTCGCGGTTTCCTTAAAAATTGTGCCAAAGTATGGTTTACAAACCTTCTATAATGATAGTTACATCCTTAAATTATTTTTAACTAGTGTTAAACTCGTGCTTCGTACAAGCTCGTATACATTCTCAAATTTTGACATTTAAATTAGTTAAAATGCAAAAAGTCTCCAAAACTAATAGTTATTTATTGTTAAGAAGTGAAAGATTGTATAATAATTTAAGAAAAATAATAGTTATTTAATGTTAGAAAGTAAATGAGTTTATATAAATTAATATAAAAATTGTTATTCATTTAAAAAATTTATTATGCATACATGGCATGGCGTGCATGTGTGTTGTAAAATGTTTCATAAAAAATTATTGGCCGTTGAATAAAATATTAGTATTTTTTTGAAATCGAAGTGTTTTTAATAAATAATTAATAAAAATAAAACAATGCCAAAAAATATTACATTAACTGAAAAATAAAAATGCCAAAAGCAATTATATTACATCATAAAATTATTAACCAAGCCCAAAGTTTAAACATTTTTGTCATATTAGACAACACTTTTTAGAATGTTACTCCCTACGTGCCCCTAAGATCTTTTCGTTTTGACTTTTTGTTGTTTTTCAGGAGAGTTTAAAAAAGTGAAAGTTTATCATAATACTCTTAAGGAAAATGGGTGGAGTTTATTAAATGAGGTGGGTGAGGTGTAATAAATAAAGTAAATAGAAATATTTGTGGTATTTTAATTGTAAAAAAGGTAATGAGAAGATTTATAAAGACAAATAAAAAGGGCTAATGGAAAATCTATGGAGAAGGGAGGGAATATTAATAATATTACAATATACTACGTAATGTAGTACTCCCTCCGTCCTAAAACTTTCTTCCCAGTTTGACTTTTCCCCATTTTTAATTTTTGGTTTTGACTTCAAATTTTACCCTCCTTAAAAAAGATTTTTTGCAAATTTTTTTTTACAATCATTCAAAATATAGAGTTAGAAGATAATTGGTGTAAATACATGAGGGTATTAATGTCATTTGTTATCTTTTTTTTTCTAATGGGAAGGTAGTTTTAGAACGGAGAAAAAAGGGAAATGGGAAAAAAGTTTTAAGAGAGAGGAAGTATCTTTTTATATAAGGAGTACTCCGTATTTTTCATTTCAACCTACATACAAAATGACAAGAGAAAACTTTTATGGGAAGTGAATTTTCTACCCATAATAAGGTCACTTAGAGAACATTATTAAAAGGCTAATATTGTTAAAGAGGCAGCTAGGCCCATTATAGAGGGAGGGAGG